TGCGCCGGGGCCCCCCCCGCCTCCCTCCCCTATAGCCCCCCCACCCCCTGCCATTGCCCCCGGTACGGGGGTTTAATTTCGAGTGATGCTAATCACCCGTTTTAATCGTGAGCTAAATCGTTGAGCAGGGAGCCTTGATTTCACCGGGTGCTTCCCATCCTCCACGCCTGCGCCGTGTGGTGAGCCTGCCCCGATTCCCCACCTCGGGGGGCTTGGCAGCCGGTGGGGGGCACGGGGTTCCCTCCACCTGCGGCGGGTGCTGCTGGAGGACAACTCAGCACTTCAGTAATGCACGAAACCAGGGCTTTGGAAATGACTAATTAACTGCTTAAGCGAAAGCCGGTCTCCCCTCCCGGGTTTGGTGGTGCAGCCCTGTGCGATGCTGGCGGTGCAGTGCCAGCGGTGCGGACATCACCGCAAGCTTTCCCGGCGTGACCCTGGGTGTTCCCGGTTGGAGCAGGGCAGCATTTTATCCCTGCCACCTCTGCGGTTGCCGAGCCGGTGGGCACCGAGCTGTGCTGCCGTTCTGGCAAGCCAGTGAGTGCCACCGCTCCAACCACCCCGGTGCCCAAAGCAGCCGCCCAGTCCCTGGCGCAGCCGGGGGTCTGCACACTGCCAGACCTTGGAAACCCCTCAGCCACCGGTGACGGGTGCGCTGGAGTCACCCCCAAAGTGCTCGGCAGTCACCGTCCCCCCAGGCTCGCTGGCAAGGTCAGGGCTGCCGTCACCAGTGACATGGGGACCTGGTGACACAGCGACCTTGCAACTGCAGGGTGGGCTCCCGGCACTCGCCGGCTGCTCCCGGGGAGGGGGTTCATGTCCCCTGTGCCCCTGGGGGTGACAGCGGCATCGCTGCAGCCGGTGCTCACAGCAAACCCGGCGCCCTGGGGACGCAGCACCTTGTCACCGCAGGGCTGGCCGGGTCGGCGTGGTTTACTGCAGTGCTCTGGGGATGTGACAAGCGAGGGGGGGGACATCATTAATCAGCTGGCCCGCTTTCCCTTTCCTCATCCTCATCAGCATGTGGCCGGCGGGGAGCAGGGCTGCGGTGTCCCCAGTCGATGGCAGGGCCGGCGAGGTCCCCGATTCCCTTTGCCATCAGCTGTGCCGCGAGCACCGGGCTGAGCCTCGCGGTGCGTTTTCCCTCCCGCCTCCCTCGCTGAGACGTGAGAATCGCTGCTCCGTCACAGACCGAGCGCTCAGACAGCCGCTAAGTGTAATTCCCAGCACTTCATTAATAACGAATTATGTAAAATAAAATTAATAATGCAAGACTTCCCAGTTTAATAATCTGTGCCACCGCCGGCACTGGCAGCACTTTGCCAAAGGGGAGCCCAGGGTGGTTACCTCGGTTTGCAGGTGGGGAAACTGAGTCAGAGAGAGAGGGGGTCTGGACGTGGGGGTCCGGACGTGGTCCGGTGCGACCGGCCCCCCCGCCACAGCTCTCGGCCTCCTTCCCTCCTGGTTTTTTTAAGTATTTTGGTTTTTAATGATGGCCTACAGGGCTGGGGGGAGGGCTGGGGCTTGACCCGCCTCCCTGGCTGTAATGATACGGCAGAATTAATACCCGCTTATCAGGGGCTCTCGGCCAGAGTTATCGGCATAGGCGGCTAGTACGGTTCATAACCGCGCTAGCCAGAACCAGGCACGGCTGTTAAGGCAGATCGGGGTCCTGCCGGCTCCC